CTGTAAAGCTGTTTCTGTGCTGTGATGAGCTCTGAAACCTACTACTGCCAGCTTCAAGGCAGAGATAGGTTGAACATATTTAAGATTGAAGTATTGATTAATGGTAGGAATTCTTTGAGCAGTCTTGTAGGAAAGAAGGTCTATAAGTCACATTGATGATTTGGAGAATACAATAAGATAGTCTTTTATTGTCATTGTACATGTACAACAGAATTGATGAGAATAGGATGAGGAAGTTATTACTGACGTCAACTCAGAAAGAGTTTCAATAAATATCAGTGGTTAAAAACTCCATAGAATTTAAATAGTATCTTTGGTTCCATCATGTTAGCATGTTTTTTTTATTCAGGTGGACTCACCTCAATGTACTTTTTCTGCAGGTCATGTAACTTATCAAGGAGGATGGAGATTCAGCATTAAGCCAGCATCCTGTGGGCAGGAGGTCTGAGGAGAGGCAAGGGATCATGGGCGATGGAGGACCCCTGCAGACTGAGGGGAATGCCCTCCTCAAAGCTGTCTTCCAGGGGAAGTTGAGGCTGACCCGCCTGCTGCTCGAGGGTGGCGCTTACATCAATGAGGGCAATGAGCGTGGCGAGACGCCCATCTCTGCTGCCTGCTTAGCAAGCTACGATGACCCACAGACCCGGCAGAGGATGGTGAGGTATCTGTTGGAGAAAGGAGCTGACCCGAACATCCCCGATAAGAGTGGCCGGACAGCGCTGATGCATGCCTGTGCAGAGCAGGCAGGAAAGGAGGTGGTGTCACTGCTGCTGGAGAATGGAGCCGATCCCAGCCTCAAAGACTACTCTGGTTCCTCTGCTCTTGTCCACGCCATCAACAAAGGGGACCGTGACACCCTGCAGGTTCTGCTGGACTCCTGCAAGGCCAAGGGCAAGGAGGTGATCATCATCACCACCGACACATCTCCGTCAGGCACCAAGAAGACCAAACAGTACCTCAACTCCCCACCATCCCCAGGCATTGTGGACAAACTGTCTCCTGCCTGTATGTCACCCTCTGAGGTGGAGATTGGCACCTCCTCCCCTGCAGGAGACAAAGATGAGGAAGGGATCTTCAGCTTCAAACTCACCTCAGCATTACCTTTACCTTCAGCTCGACCTCCAGGTGAGAAGAGGCCACCTCCCCGTAAACTGCTTAAGCGTCTGAACTCAGAACCGTGGGGCCTGGTGGCACCTTCAGTTCTCAGTGGGGTTCCCCAGGACCGGGTGGATGGAGGTCTGGAGGAGGAGGAGGGCAACAGCAACCTGAACAAGACGATCACAGAGATGAACGGACTGACTGTCACAGAGCCGGTGAGGCCACTATTGTCACGGCGTCACAGCATTGAGACGCACGACCCCACATCCCCTAAACTCATTGACCGATCCTGCTCTGAGGACTGCGCAGGGCTGTCTGGTCCATCGTGGGCTGACAAAGTGCAGCAGCACCAGATCCTCTACCGCAGGAACACAGCTCCAGAATCCCAGGAGAACGCTGCTGGACCTGGGACAGTTGTGGCCCGAGCCCTAGCTCACCCCAAGCTCACACGGATGGAGCACTATGAGTCAGATACCCACCTTTGTCCAGAGTCCATTCCTGGATCACCGGACTCTGGGAGGATTTCGGTAGAACGGAGGAGGTACAACGCTTCCCCCTTGTCCCTGGTCACCAGTTCTTCCAGGGAGTCTCTGGAAAACATCCCCAACTCAGTTTCCCCCATCACTATGCGACGGCGTGGCCCAGGGCTCCTGGAGCGCCGGGGCTCTGGGACCCTGCTGCTGGACCACATCTCCCACACCAGGCCCGGCTTCTTGCCTCCGCTTAACATCAACCCGCAGAGACCCATCCCTGACATCCGGGCCAATGGGAAACCCACCTCCCCCATCAACTCCGGACACAAGATCCTGGTTCCAGTAGCCCCAGCCTCACCCAAACGGGGCCCAGACTTCAAGATGAAGAAGAAGCTGATGAGGAGACACTCAATGCAGACAGAGCAGATGAAGCAGCTTTCGACCTTCCAGGAGATTCTGGCGGAAAAAGTCATTGAGTCCAACGGGGATTGATGAATGAAGACAAGGGAGCAAAGCAAAGGGTAGCTGCAGAGACTTATCAGGGGTTGATTTACTGTGAAGCATCTCCATTAGATCATCACAGATGAACTCAAATTAATACCATGGTGTGGTCTTTAAGGAGAGCTGCACCAACAAGGACTCAATTCACCTGAGAAGAGTTTAGGTTTAATACAGGTTTTGTCTGTTCCTGGTGTGAAACTGTGAGGTCAGTATGAGTTTAATCCAACCAACATTAAAGATCATTGCAACATGCAGTTAGACTCTATCACCTTACCGATTACCTTTCATATATAACATCACATCTTCAGGAATCAGATTATTCTGAGAATATGATGACGTGTGCATGTCTGTGCAGGTTCATGCAGGTGATAGCAGTATTAAGTTGATTAGACTTCTTTTTTAGGTTATTGAAAAAGCGTTTCTGATGAGACTCAAGTATATAGAGAGTTCCTAGACATGTACGTCCACACGCAGAGACGTGTTCATAGACGTGTACGTCCACACGCAGAGACGTGTTCGTCCACACGCAGAGACGTGTTCGTCCACACGCAGAGACGTGTTCGTCCACACGCAGAGACATGTTCATGGACGTGTACGTCCACACGCAGATCATGTGCAAGATCTTGGGCTCTGAAAATAACAAGTAGAAAATATCAAATTGTACTGCTTTCAAAATTCGAATAAAATAAATATTAAATCCAAGGAACTAAATAACGATCAACATGTGAGACCTTATTTTCTTACGAAGCTGTTTACAAACCTGTATTAAATTAAGTAATGGTGCTTTATTTGGCTGTTCAGTGACATTGCGTGACGCTTGTCAGCAGTGTCTTCACAGGTAGTCCTAATTTGTTTTAACATATTAGTACGAAAGCTGCATTTTAAATCAAACTACGTATTCTTGATCACAAATACTGTTCTGGCATCTTTAAGAAACCAAAGTGCTTGAAAATCACTTTAAATACAGTGAGTTATGAGGATATACTTACCTTGTTTGTGCAGAGGCCCGGCTCCCCCTGATCAGCATGGCCACTGTGCTGACATACAAGGGGGAGTTCTTAAAACATCTAAAATTTAAATTAAACTCAGAAGGAAGATTATTTACACCATCTGCATGCCTTCGGTTCCTAATAAACCATATGACATATGTAACTGACACAGCGATCACCTGCTTTTCATACGGTGCATGTGCATTACAACTTGTAGGTTACAGTGGGTCCTCAAAAGCATAAAATGTTAATGTTGAGTATTTTTGAACTAGAAAACGTTGATATTTATTCTTTATGAGTCAAACATCATGCAGAAGTACTTGAAATTTTCCATGCAAAGTAAATGCTGGCATCACCGCAGTCAGCCACGCATTTGACTAAAGTCCTGGAGCAGTCGGTGGGTTGGTTCTGGCCTAGTGGGCCATAATTTGATATACAGTGTTTAATGTCTTCCAGTGACAGTCACGATTACTTCTTTCTAGTGTGGCAAACAGATGAACAGCTTCCTGTTGCATCGTTTCGCCACAGACAAACTGCAGTACCTCTGGATGACCAGTAGGAGATCCACAATATTGGTGTAAAATTCTTACATCCAAGGAAAGCTCGATGAAGAACTCCAACCCAAGATCAGTTTAATGAATAAAAGAAAGGATAACTGAAATTACCCAATACTAGAGCTCTTTAACATATTTGCTCATACACGTGGTAATTCGTTTCACCGTTGTAGCTCCCTCAGAGATTTCCAGCAGGTTGAAGTTGAAACTTGTGGGTGAAGCTCTCCTTACCTTCATTTAATTGTCTGAATGTTTAGCCACAGAAAGCTCCTCAGATTCCTCCGAATTTCTCATCCTCTCCTCCACTCAGACCTGAACTGGCCTAAAGAGAAATAATCAGACTCCTTTGATGTTTACAGATGCACAATTTGCACTGAGGCCATTTTCCTCCTGCTACCAGATGAAGACACAAACGTCCTGCTGCAAACTAACTTGTTTTCATTCATAAAGCTGACATATTTATTTATACGCTCCTGTTTGATTGATAACGTGTAAAACTACCTACTGCGCTGTATGTACTGTAATGATCTATAGTCAATATAATAGTTGGTATATCTGTGGAAACCCATCTTTATTTTACCCGTTTCCTGTGTCTGTACTTTCAGAGATGATATTTTGATTGAACTTGTGTTGAGAAACATTGGTTTATTGTTTATGATACTCCAAAGAAACCAGTTCACACTGTAAGTACTGAAAAACAAATCTGTACTGTTATACACTACACCTGTTTCAGCACGAGGGGACCCTGTTAAAGGAGCAGCTTGGGCAGAAAAAGTCAGTTCACTCATTTTATTCTGAGATGTTAGCAGGTTTTAAATCAGAAGCACCTTTATTAATAAACAGGTGGAAAAATCGTTGGAAACTGGGGCGTGTCCTCATCTCACAGCTGAATCTATGACCCCCTCAGTTCACTTTTATTTATATATAATCCTGTGAAAAAACCAAGCCCACTGTTACTAGTTCTATAGGCATCAACATGGTGTTACCCGAGGGAGGCACCCATTGCAGTAGGAATGAGCCGTAGGTATGCAGTCAGTCCACAAGGCTAATCCTAATACAAAAACAACTGTTCTAAACAGGTAACAGGAGCACACAAGACAATTGTAGGTGGGAGACAGACAAGCGCTGAGGGGAATATATTAAAAACGAACACATTAAACGGCAATCCACACTTGACGATGTGTCATAGAAACTCTTCAATGCCCGTCACCGCGGTAAGATAATATAACCTTTATTAGTCCCACGCGTGGACAGTGCAAAGTTACAAAGAAAAATTAGAAAAAAATAAAGACTGGAATAAAATATCAATAAGATACTGTACACAACTGTACACAATAGAATAGAATAAAATACTATATACACAATTGAATAAAATAGCATTTGTATTCTATTTTATTCTATGTACATGTAAAAGCGGCTAGAAAAAGGATCAGCTTCCACGTGGCGCCTTCGCTGTCTGCGGTGCTAAAACACAATCCGTACATTAATGGGTGCTGATACGATGAGATAATTAACAAATAGACCAAATAAACAGCCACAACCATCAGAACAGTTCTCAGCTCTTCGCTGTCAAATTAAATCAGCCTCAGAACACATGGCAGCAGACACAGACATCCAAGGACGTCGGCCCAGCAGCCATTGGCTATCTGTAAATTAAAACGGGACATTACTTACACTGAGCAGGTTACCTCAGAAGGAATATCCCTCCCACTTTGCTTCATGTCTGTTTTTCAGTTAACTGCCCCCGGCAAGTTTCCACACAGTTTCTTGCTACTGGGGTACAAATAACTTTAAACCTCTGCCAAAACTCAAGCAGAACGTTATCTGGGGACTACCTCACTAACAGAAGGCCACACCAAGCTGTTGTAGAAAAGCTAAAAAGGCTAAATAGCGCTGCTTAGACCCAGTATTCACACAACTCCAGGTTCACACAAGAGATCAAATAATTACCTGCACCTGTGCTTATAAAAGGGAAAAACCCAGCTCTGCCTGCCAGGGCAGTTTCCAGACTCAGGTCTCGCCTGTCGCAAGGGTAAGAAGCAGCCACCTATATAAAAGTAGAAATGTTGTCAGCATTCAAGAATGTGTTATCAGTGCTCAGGATGAAAGACATCAGCAATATTCTTGGTGCTGTCCATCAATCTGGGAGGAGCAATGAGATCATTTCCACACAATGTGAAAGTCCGTCATTCTACAGTGAGAAGGATTGTTCATAGGCGGATGTTGGTGTGGCTGCAGTCAATTTGTGCAAATATCAAAGCGCTCCATCTCACACTCTACAGGCCTCAGTTAGCATCTTAAACACTGAAGTTAATGACAGCACAAATAGAAATAGACCAAAGAAGTATGGCTGCTTTAAAAGAGAAGAGGAGAAAACATGACTTAGGTTTGTAAAGCCGCAGCAGACTTCAGCAACAGACGAGAGTAAAGTGCACAGCAGCAAACTGCTCGCTGTGAGCACCGTGCAGGAGTGATGACGATCCGAGTGGACCGTGAACTCCCCGTACATCAGAGTATTCCAGAGTCAGAGTGAGGCCGTGTGTCCCGCAGCTGAAGCTCGGACCAATCGGCAGGACGCTGAAGCGAGCGCAGACGGAGCTGCTGCAGCGGTCCAGAGTGCAGAGCTCAGAGAGCTGTGCATAAACGAATGGAGCAAACTTCAGCAATGCTGTGAAGAAGAGTGGAGCCAAACTCCTCAGTTAAGTATCTGAGGCTGTGACCACGGGACTGTAACAACATGATTGTTGGGCTTCATTTCTGTATCTAACGGTAGTTTTAAGATGAACTAGTAAATAACAATTAGCTAATGTCACGCATGAGACGAGTGTCATTACACTTTGGTAATGTAAATATAATATGGCTAATATATCTATTAATATATTAATTAAGATTTATTACAGCAGTGAGCTTGAACTCTGTGTCAAATACTGAGCTTCAGTAAAGATTCAAGTTGCAGTTATTTATATTTCCTATCACCATAAATCTTCAAAGACAAGCATCTGTTACATGGTATATACAGATGTATTATATATAAGAGACAAATATTGTTCATTTAATTTGTTGGCATTATTTAATTTGGCTCATTGCTTACATATATGTATAAAAAGCAAATGTACGAGCTGTGATAACTGTGTCTGATAGAATGAAGAGTAGACTGATATATGAAATATTCCTTTATTGGGTGAGAAAATCAGACCATGTCATAACTGCTGTAAGTCACACAGAATAGACATCAGAGCCTTAAACAGGCTGACGTCTGCTAAATGGGTCAAACTGGGCAGGAAGTAAACAAACACATAACATCCTTATAGAATATGATGTAACACTATAGATCAACTTAGCTCAGAATATATAAAGCATATAAACAGTTACAGCAACATGATGCAACAAACACAG